CCCACCTGGACGATGCCCACCTCATCGACCTCGCCAAGTATTTGACGTCTCTAGAGCGCATCAGCTTGGCTGGTTGCCGTGCAGTCTCGCAAGCAGGACTGGCTCCTCTGTTGTTGGCTTCGCGATGGGGCATTCGGGAGCTTGCACTGGAAGGAACAGCGGTCGTGAGTGTGGCCTACGTCACCAAAAAGCTCCGCTTCAAGCATGCATTCAATGGTCCCCGTCTCTTCATACCCGCCAAAGGATCCCAGCGCTTTGCCCTCCTTGGCGCCCAGTTTGCAGCGCTTAAGACAGCTCAGCTTGACCCTACCGCGCGCTCGAGTCACCTCTGTGGAGAACTTTCTCCTTTCTCTTGCAGGGCTTGTGCGCTGCCTTCCCTTCCTGGAGGATTTGACGCTGTATGCGAGCAGCTACAACCGTCCTGAATCAAATCTAGACTTTGCCGACGACTCGAACGACTCTGACAGAGAGGGGGGTGGCATCGAATCAAGTGCCGTACCAGCCCTGTCCACAGCCGCGTCTCCAACAAGAGTGCTGCAAAATCCCAGTACTAAGCAAGATCAACTCGATTCTCTAATGTGCGAGCTCGTGCTAGCGACCGAGGGAAGACTTCGTCGACTGCGTGCTCAAGGCGTGAGGCTGAGTGCCAAGGGCTTGCTCATGCTGTGTCGAAGAGCACCCCTTCTGAGCCAGCTGGTGGTACATGTGTCGTCGGATGTCACACCGGTGAGCCACTACGGGTAAGAATATCTCCTGTGCCACAGTCTCACCTTCCAACCCACGTCCAGGTTTCAATGCGCCAGAGCTTATCACTACTCAAGCATCTCTCTGTGCTGCACATCATGGCAGACGTATCCAGCGGCGTCGAATTGAGAACAGAGGATCTCAGGCAGATCGCGCAGGATTCGAACAATCTGACCCAAGTTGGATTCAAGAATCGCGTATGGGAGGTGAGTAGCGCTGCGATGAGCCGATTGGGCATGCTGACGGTGCTTCGACCCGACCTATCAATCTGTTGTGCTTCCTTTCGCCTCCAGGTCGATCGCTTGCCGTGGCTTGGCAGGGCGTTGGAGGGAACCACGACAACTTCAGACAGTCATGTTAGTGCCGAGGTGGAGACCAGTCTAAGCCAGCCAGAAGCACATCAAGACGTCAAACTGCGTAGATATGACTTTTCGAGCCAGCGCATCCCCGACGTCTTCCTTGTGGTGCG